TTTTTTTTTTTTGAGAGGGTATCTCTTATATTTATTGATCAAATGGTTGTTAACAACAATAAAATTCTGTATAGGGGACTCAATGCACAGTCATTAATCAACCCCAAGCCTAATTCTCGTCAGTCTCCAATCTTCTGAAGCATAACAAACAAGTTCTTACATGGTGAACGAATTCTTACATAGTGAATAAGTTCTCACATGGTGAACAGCACAAGGGCAGTCATCACAGAAACTTTCGGTTTTGATCACGCATTATGAACTATAAACAATCAGGTCAAATATGAATATTTGTTCGATTTTTATACTTGATTTATATGTGAATCCCACATTTCTCGCTTATTATTATTATTATTATGATTTTTAATAAAATGCTGAAGTGGTAGGTAGATGCAAGATAAAGGTAGAAAACATAGTTTAGTATTGTAAGAGGGCAAATGTAGATGATCAGGTGTGTGCCTGTGGACTAAGTATTAATCCAGGCTAGACAAGGGCAGCAGAACTAATAAGCTATTCTTATTAGTTATCACCATCACCACAAGTATCCACTCCAATCAGGAACCTCCATGCTGTAGAGGGCACTGTTTTGACCTCAGCCATTTTGTTTAGGAGTCACACATCTATTCAAAACAGGCACTAATATGGGGCTTTGCAACTCTCTGGTGCCACAGAGCTCTGCGGAAGGTCTACTTTGTGTCCAGCCCAGTGCCTGTTCTCATTATGTGGAGTCGGCCACTGGCCAAACCCTCCCACGGGGACAGAGCATGGCCCCCCACCCCCTCAGGCTTTCCCTAGGCTCATCTAGGTATGAAGACGCACAAAACCAACAAGACCATGCTTGGCATTAGATTCACTCTGAAGGGTACAGGCCGGGAAACAGTCGTGGGTGGGGAGAAGGTCTGCAACAGCGAGTGCAGGTTCTTCACTTAGGAGGCCATGAAGCACAGCCCTCGATATGTTTTTGTAGCAACCCCACAGTAGCTCCTAGGGACCAACAAGGGATGTGCCCGTTTTCAAGGGCCATTGCTCCTGGAGGTACCCAAGGCATTGGCTCCCCGACCGGGTGTTTACAGTCATGCAACATACAATCAGGGGCCATCATTTCCATACACAAAGCTGACCATTCGTCCACTGCTCCCAGGGTGCCTGGGGAACACCGCCAGAGCATTCACTGCATCCTAGACCAGCATCTCACCCAAGGTCAGAGGGGAAAGGGCTTTGGTCATCTCAGGCACAGGCCAATAGAGAGAACCATGTACATGTTAGATGCTTATGGGTGGGTGGTTGCAGAAGAAGCCACATCCCACCAGAGCCCAGAATGCTGAGGGTTGGGGAAAGCGGGGACAGGGCGCCTCTCCTCCCTGCTCCTGGTGGCACCCTTTAGACAGAATGGGCCCACCGTGAGCTCCCCCATCCCAGCCTCAGTTGCTGACCTTCTGACTCTGCAGCTCACACTCCTGCAAAAGCAGCTCTAAGACCTTGATACGCTTCCAGATCAGCTCCTGCTTGGAGACTGACAGGAGGAGACCCTTGGGGTCAAGCATCCCGATGATGTCGAACCACACGGGGCAGCCTTCATAGTCATAGCCACACAGACCACCTGAGTCGTACAGCCGGATCACCTGGGCAGGGGGGTGAGGTCCTGACGCAAAGCAGCCGACCAGGTCATATTCCTGCGCCATCAGGTGGCTGGATGTGTGTGGGGGGAGGGGGGACATAGACGGCCTAGGTGACGCTGCATGGGGCTCACCTCCGAGGGCTGCCACTTGAGGATGTTGTCCAGGTCCTGTTGCTTCCGGAACACCATGTGCTGAGGAGACAGGGCAGGACCTGAGGACTGCCCGCCCCCAAGGCCTTGAGGATGCCAGGGGCCATCAGGCCAGTTGCCCCTGTCCGCATCCACGAAGATCCTACCAGAGCATCCCCAGGCTCCACCAACACAGAACTGGGAATGGGGGCCGGGAAGAGGATGTGGGAGACCCAGGTTTGATGCAGAACGGGATCCAAGGAGGAAGGGAGAAATGAAAACATAAAAGGGGACAGGGCAAGAGTCCCCACCCTTCGTAGCTGATCCCTGGAGTACACCATATGGGAGGCAGGATGCTCACGAGAGTGGGGCCTCACCTTCCGGAGCATGCCCTCAGATTTCTGCAGGTCAAAGTTCCGAGCTACAGAAGGAACCAAAGGAAGAGAAGGCTTGATGCCACATCTAGAACGAGCCATTCTCTGAAAGCTCATGAGGAAATGGTGGGGGTGCCCTCACCTTTTCCTGACACCCCAAGAATACACTGGGGGTCTGGACATGTTTTTAAAAAACAAGGATCTTTAATCCTCTAGAAGACTTAGAAGCCCTTAATTGCAGTTTCCAGGCCTTTTTAAACTGTTTGTTCTAGAGGCTTATCTACCTGATAATATTCCACATCCCCTTGGGAGCAGAGACACCCTTTGGTGTTAGGGGTAGTGAGGACCGTGGGCTTTGGGGTCATACAGACCTGGGCTTGAATTCAGTTTCCTCCCACTTTTTTTGCTATATAGCCTTGAGCAAGTCACTTACCTTCTCTGAGCCTTGGCTTTTTAATCTGTTACATGGGAATGTCTTTTTCAGAGTTATTCAAAGAATGTCATGAAATAAAGTGTACTTGCCAGTTGGGGTGGGATGACGGCTCACCAGGGAAGCCAGCCCTTCCCCGCCACCTGAGGACCCATCCTTCGTCAAGGACCCTCTGCTCCTGGAACCTCCTCCTTTACCGGGAAGCTCACTCTTCATGTGGATCCCCCCTTTACTGGGACCCCTCTCTCCTTCACTGGGAATTCACTGCTAGCACACGGCAGAGCTGGGATTCAATCACAGGTCTGCCTGATTCCAGGGCTGGAACTATCACTACACCGTGTATCCTTTGCAGCCTGGCTTCTGACTTCTCTCCTGACTCAAGTTCAAAATCCATTCCTTGGGTTGTGTGGAGTTGAAATGAACTATTCCCTAAGTCCTGGGGTGGTTTCTGTTATTTCACACTTCTGTGGCAATTCCTAGAAGAAACTCCTTCTCTACCTTTAATTACAGCCACTTCCTGAAATGCTCATTGGGTACCTCCTCGTCCGGCTCCTTGAGAGTATAACATAGCACTGTCTTCAAGGAACTGGAGACAGACCCAGAGGCCAGCCCTGAAGACAGCGTTCAGCACATCCGACTCAAAGCCTGGCCAGAGCTATCATCCTGAACTTAACTCTAACTTCACTGTGACTGGCCATGCTGATGCGAAGGGGAGCTCAGATTCTAGCCCAAAGTGGGCTGATTCCAGAGCCCATGTTCTTTACCACTCACAGCACGGTCTGGCAAAGTCTCCCTGAAACCCTTGTCTCCTCCCTCCCCGCTGCCTCCCCTGACCCCCCAGACACAGCCTCACCTCGAAGCCAGCGCAGGAGGAAGTAGTCATCAGCATTGGGCAGGGCAGGCAGCAGGTCCTGGAGGTTATCTCGGAACTGAGGTGGGGGGTTGATATAATGGTCAGGGGGGCTCCATGACCCCCGACCATTCTGCTCCACAATCTGCCAGTCAGTCCAGTCTAGGGACCCTGCAGGGTGAGGACCACACCCTGCACCTGCCTGGATCATTTTGCCACCTGGGAATGTGACACTTCTCAGCCCACTATGGCAGGAAGAGTTTGTTCTTTCTCAAATTTGTTCTATAGGTCTGAGAAGTTCTTTCCCTTGTTCTATAGGTCTGAGAAGGGGCCCTGCCATCCCTATATTCACAAAGATCCCCATGAATCAGATGCAGGCCAACCAGAATATTGTAGGAATCTTGCCACCGATACTGTATCTTGAGGGTCTGGATTTGAAAGCAAGGTACTTGACCTCTCTGGTTCTTAGTTTCCTCATCTGCGAAGTGGGGTAATGGTAAACTTGTACCAGTCAAAAGAGTCTGTGCCAGGTCAATGTGGATGCTCAGAAAACATGGCCTGCACAGAGCCCTGGACAGTGGAGTCCTTGTGGAGACAAAGAGAGGCAAAGGTCAGCAGAGAGGTACTGAAAGAGCAGCCAGGGGTGCCTCACCCAGGCACCGTGAGGGCTGGGGAAGAGGAGGGAAGCCAACCTGCTGGGGGTGCCTTGTCCCACTGGCAGAGTTCGGGGAAGTTTGGGTTTGAGACCGAGGCTCAGGTCTGAGGCAGACAGACCTCACTACCACGGGGTCCAAAAAGGCAGGGCCTCGAGTGCTGGGTTCGCAGGGGAACCTGCAAATGAGAATTTGGGATTGCAAACAGGCCAGCAAAGCCATAGGAAGCTGTCCTGACAGCCAGCCACCCAACCACCTTTAGCTTTAACGGGTGATGTTTAAAATAAGAATGTATTCATGTACCGCTCACATAACTAAAAACAAATCATCAGTTTAAACACCTCCAGTGTTAATAGATAACATGAGCGCCAGCATCCACTTTAATAATCCCCAGGCCCGACAGGCCCGTGGAATGGGGTTCTTGCATAATCAACAGCCTCTAGGCTCTGAGGAGGTTCTGGGGTGCGTGGGGGCAGGACCGCCTGAGAAACAATAACTCTGCACCCCCCAGCCCCTCCAGATCCCCTCCTTTGAACCTCAGGATGTGCCCTGAGGCGGGAGGGGCAAAGGTCACATCCCTGCTTCGCAGATGAGGAAACTAAGGCCCTGGGGGGCGGGGTAGAAGGTCTTCCCCAGGGACAAAGCAAGGAAGCTGCAAGGCTGGGAGTCCCTCTGTTCCACTCTCAAGGCCACTGCACCTTTGCAGCGCGTGTCAAGTAGGAGAGAGAGCCACTGAGCGGATGCTGGGAAGGGTCTGGGCTAACTTAGAGAAAGTATTTATGATGATGCCATATGGTGAAAGTAGCATCTCACAGTGTGACCACAGGTGGTCAAAGCGAGGCTTAGGAAAGAGCTGGAGGGAAACACTCCCAGGAGTGCTTGTCTAGACCTCTGGGACGACTGGTCATCTCATCCCCTTCCTCTGATTTTCCTCTTTTTTCCTAATGTTTAAATAGCTAGCATTTATTTCTTTTAAATGATGGAAAAAATAAGAATAAACTCATTTTACATCGTTAAAGCTCTTTGGGCCACAGGCATCTCCATCATAATTCACCCCAAAGGCCAGTGTCCAGTCCTTCCCTATAAGCCCTGTGACTGGGGCTCCCCTGAGGCCCTTTGCCAGTTGGGGTGCCCCCAGGGAAGCCCTTCCCCACCACCCGAGGACCCGTCCTTCATGGGGACTCTCTGCTCCTGGAACCACCTCCTTCACCGCGAAGCTCACCCTTCCCCTGGATCCCACCTTACCGGCACCCTGCTCTCCTTCACTAGGAATTCACTCAGGGCTCCTCCTTCTCCGGGGCTCCTCATTCCTCCCCAGGGTAGCAGCCTCAAGAGAAATTATTCTCCACAAACAAGCTGCCCCTTCACGGGCCCAAAGTGTGAGCCAGGGCTGTGACACCCACTCCCCCACAACCTGAAGCCACATATTCCAGTCCCCAGCCATCTACAAACTGAATTAATGCTGTGGCACCTACGACCTGGATAAGCTCCCCCTTCCCAGGGCGCTGACATTCCAGGTGCAGCCCGCAGTGCCCTGAAATCACCAAGAATCCCTCTTGTCCCCTTTAATGAAAACATGGACATTAGGGAGTGGGCTCCGCGGGGCCCTGGGAAATCAGAAAGTCACAAAGAGAAACCAACCGATGTTGTGACTGAACCAGAGATCTGGGGCTCCGCCTGCCCCAGGCGACGCAGCACCACCCTCCCCCACAACCAGGGAGCAAGAGCCCAGGACGCCGAGGCCAAGCGCTGACAGCGGTGGAAAACTGGGTCTGGCCCCTGTGTCCCCCAGAGAAGGGCTCCTGCCCAGTGGCCTGGACACAGCTGCCTCAGCGCCTGCGCCCTGGAGCTCGCGGGCTGGACAGAGTCTCTCTCCAGGGTCCCTTTTTCCGTCTGTACAACGGGCTCTCCAGCCGGGGTAGCAGCGTCAGGGTGCCCGGACTCTCCCCAAACATCCCCGCGCGCAACACCCTCACCCTGGACAGTGCCTCCTGCTGCTGGGGGCTCAGGTTCCCGACTCGGCCGCTCATGGTGCCTGCGGGCAGGGGCGCGGGGCGCAGGCGTGCAAGAGGAGTCTGCTGCCCACTGCCTGACCTCGCCGCCGCCCGGTTTTGCCCGGCGGGTCAGGTGTTGGTCCCGCCCCTCCGGGACGGCGCCAGTCCTGCCCCAGCCCGCCCCGTTCCCGCCTCCCGTCAGGGGCTTTGCGGTCACCAGGACACACCCTCCTCCGAGCAGGGAAGTGACCCGCCCCAGACGGGTCCCAGAGCGCAGACCTGAGTGGAGGGCAGCAGGCGCCCCCTACTCCGTGCCTCCTCATTCGGGGGCTCCTGCAGGTTCCCGCGCGGCAGGGGAAAGGGAATGGGGTTTCGACAGGCGGGAAAGTTTTAGGAAACACCACCGAGTTCCCCTTCCAAGCAAAAAGAGATGCTTTTCAATAAACCTGGCTCAGTCCTCCAGGTGGTCTCCAGGATTTTCTGCCCAAAGGGACCCAGACTCCCTCCCCTGGCCTTGAACACAGGCGTGCACCCCTGTCGGTGCCCACCAGCTGATAGGAGAGCCCGCGTATGCAGAGGTGTTCGGGACTTAAGATGGTCCGCCATGGGGCAGCCTGGCATTTCACACGCAGCGAGTGTGCAATGTTAGGAATAAATGTGGTTTCATAATTATAATTGATGCTGTTAACCACAGCAGTGAGCTGCAGAGACAGAGGCGGTGGTAAGTTCCTGGGCTGATCGACAGCCTGAGGGGTGGGGGCGGGAGGAAGTGGCCGTGGCCAATGGAAGCCCTGGCGGGCCTGATGGAAAGGAGGGGAGGCCAAGGCGTAGCAGGCGGCTGACAGGTGTCCAGGACGCCGTCTGAGAACCAGGCAGAGACCCCGGGAAAAGATGAGAAAACAAAAGTTAGCTGGGCTGGAATTATTGAGAGAGGTTCACGTGGGAGGTGAAGGTGAAGGGGGCGGTAAACCAGGCCACCAGAATCTTTTACCTCCGCCCTCTCTTGGGGTCAAACCAAGTTCTAGGCCTGTGCTCATCCATGTGGCCACGAGCCACATGTGGCCGTTGAGCACTGGGAACGTGACTTGTCACTAGTGCGAATGGAGATGTTATAAGTATAAAATACACACCAAATTCTGAGGACTCAGTACCAGAAAAATTAAATATTTTGTTAGTTAATTTCTTATGTGGATTACCCGTTGAAACGACATTTTTTTGCTATATTGGAATAAATAAGATATATTATTAAAATCAGTTTTACCTGTTTCTTTTTGCTTTTTTATAATTCAAAATGTTATTTAATTAATAAGCTTTATTTTTTAGGGCAGTTTTAGGTACACAGCAAAGTTGAGCTTGTCCCCGTTACATACAGGCAGCCTTCTCTGCTGTGGACGCCCCCACCAGAGTGGTGTCTGTTATTACCGGTGAACCTACACCGACATGTCGTTATAACCTAAAGTCCATAGTGTACATTAGGGTTCCCTCCTGGTGTACATTTTATGGGTTTAGAAAAATGTATAATGAGACATATTCATCATTGTCGTGTCATACAGAATAGTTTCACTGCCCTAAAAACCTGTGCTCTGCCTCTTCTTTCTACTTGTAAAAAAAATGTGGCTATGAGAAAATTTTAAATTACGAATGTGTGGCTCCCATTTGTGGCTCGCACTGTATTTTATTTGGACAGTCCTGTTCTAGTGGGATTTTTAGATCTTAAAGAAAGAAAGTGAAATTACAAAGAGTTAAAAGCAAGTAAAAGTGATGCATAGCACCGCTGCCTGGAAGGGCATGGTCTTGGCTTAAAAGCAATGACAGAAATCACACAGGGCCAGTCACTTGGCTTGACTACATTAAAATACAAAAATTTGTTAAAGAAGAAACAATTAAGCCACTAGTTGCAGATGTGAATTTGAGAAAAATGAAACATACAAAAATTGGTATCTTTACAAAGAATGCATACAAATTGATGAGGAAAATAGTAAGGCACTAAGAAATGGACAAAAAATTCAAAACACCAATTATCAGAAGAGGAAATGCACAAGGAAAACAATCAAGTGGATAAGTGCTCAACTTCTAGGTCATCAAAGAAATGGGTACATAAGCCACAAGACATTTTCCCCCTGCCAATCAGCAACAAAACAAAACAACACAACACACACATACATATACGTACACACACAGAAAACCTTTAAAAAATATGATAATAAAGTTAGAAGTGGGTGAGATGGAAGCATTCATACATTTCTGGTAGAACTGTAAATAGGTTCAGCTTTTCTAGAAAACTACTTGAAAATATGCAAAAATAAAATCCTAACTGACAGGAAATATTTACAGCTTTAAGTTGCATGTGCATTGTTAATAGGATAATTGGAAACAATTTTTCAGGAAACCACAGTGCTTAATATGGTTGGTGAAGAGTTTATAAAGACAGGGAAAAAAATACCATGAAACAATTGGGAAAAGCTAGGACCATGTTATACGTGGCATGTATGTTGTCCAAAAGCCACTTAATAAAAGAAAGGCCAGACAAGAAATTTGCCCCCAATTTTTCCCAATCTCTGAGAAGTGGGAAAAGTCAATTTTTTAAATGCCATAAGTAACAAGTCACCTCCAAAGAGAAGTCTTTATTTAACCAGCACTTGTGTTTTCTCTGGGGCAGGCCGTGTTCTAGAGCTTTGTAAATATTAGCTCAGTGCTGTCTGAGAGATAATGGGAGCCACCTGGATCACTTTAAATTCTCTAGCAGCTGCGATAGTTGGAGTAGACATGAAAGTCAACACGATTTTATAGTCATTTCCTCACAGCAGCCAAAAGCAATTCCAGTCTTTGCCTGTTGGGAAGGAGTCCAAATGGGAGAATTCTAGCCCCATTCTCCAGGTCATGGAGACGGGGTCTCCTGTCTGTGCATTTGGATTCCTGGAATTCCAACATTTTTATCAAGAACAAACCTCTTCCCTATCTTGTCCCCAGATATTTCTCTGGGAGGATGTTAAACAATTGTCAGACTGACCTGGCTTTGCCACTTGCTGGCTGAGTGATTTTAGTCAAGTGGTCTAACCTCTCTGAGCCATGGTTCCCTCCAATGCAAAATGGGGCTGATAATAGTACCTACCTCACTGGGTTGTTGAATAAAAATAAAAAGGCATAATAAACAAAAATTGCCTTACCCAGGACCTGAAACAGAATAAGTGCTCAGAAGATAGTAGTAATAGCAAACGATGACTCAAAAATACAGAGAGAGTAATAATTATTATTCCTCCTTGCAGTAGCCACCTCCAGATGGCCCCCAACCGTCCTCACCTCCTGGTGTGCATGCTCCTGCTTAGTCTCCTCCTGCACTGGGCAGGGCTGACCTGTGTACCCAATAGGACATTGCAAAAATGATGGGATAGGAGTTAACGAAGCTTGATCATAAGAACATTGCTGCTTCCCCCTTGCTCTTTGATCACTTGTACTGGGGAAGCCATCTGTCATGTTGTAGGGACACTCAAGCAGTGCTCTGGGGAGGTCCTGAGAGTAGGAACCGAGGCGCTGACAATAGCCGACACTGACGGGTGATGCATGTAGACATCTTGTGGACAGACCCCCCAGCTGCAGTCAGGCCGTCAGATGACTGCAACTCTGGTTGCCATCTTGGCTGAAACCTCATGAGACCCCAGACCGAGCTGGCTAAACCACTCCATAATTCCTCACCACAGAAACTGGGCAATAATAAATGTTTATGGTTATTTTAAACACCAGTTTTCAGAGTAATTTATCACATAGCAATAGATACCTAATACCCTTCCCTTTTGCCCTTGGCCTTCATCTACTCTACCCTCTCTCCTCACCTTGGAGTCAGAGTAGGCGGAAGCACTCCTTAGGGGTTGGGCAGGGCAGACTGCACATGTCCTCCCAGAACGAAGGACCGAGTGAAGGAGAGACCCAGGTCAGAAGGCCTCCACAGCACCCCTCAGTCATCAGGGAATTGGCCAGCCACCCCCAGGCCTGTGGATCGCACCTGCCTTTGGGAAAGGGGATGTCTGAGCTGAGAGGCCCCACCGGTGCTGGGGAAGCCAAGGCCTGGGTCAAGTCACAACAGGTCCCTTTCTCCGTCTGGAAATGGGGCTCATAATGAGCCAGATGCACAAAGCTTCAGGGTGGATTAAATGCAGAGAGAATTTATGAGCCAGACTCTTCCCTCAGACTCTTCAGGACCTTGATCTCCATTCTCAGAGAGCCTGTCAGCCAATTCTGGTGGGAGGGTAAGCTACATGGAGCCTGAGGTTCAGAAAGGTTGAGTAATTTGCCTGTATCACACAGCCGGCAATTGACAGAGTTGGGAGGCAAATTGTGCATCTGGTCCAGAGCCCGTCATCCAGACTGAGCGACCCAGCCTGGGGAAGGATCCTCCACAGACGGGACCCAGGAAAGGTCAGGCAGTTCAGCCGACCCTGGCCCACCCTGGAGGGTCTGAGGGCTAAGGGCACCGCTCCTGCATGGATGTCCCTGACTGTGGCCAAAGCCCACCTTCAATACTGATGAATCCGGTAGGGAAACAGCACTGGACAAGGAGTCTGCAGTCTCAGGATGGCCTTGACTGAGCCATTTGCCCTGTTTCTGGGTCTCAGTCTCGTCAGCCTCCAAACAAGGGCTCAGAGGCTTTTCTCTGGGCCCCCCATGAACAATAGCATTAGGGCACATGGTTTCCAGGGAGAGGAGAGCTGTCCCAGGCCCAGAGCCAGCAGGTGCATGTGCGACCCTGAGCAGGGCCACACCTGGCCTTCAGGTGAGGGGTGCCAGGGAACTGGCTACAGCCTGCCCCCCACCCCAAGCCCCTGGACAAGCAAAAAGCCAGAATCCAAGACTGGGACATGAAAGATCATCCCGTGTGAGATCAAATAGGTATTGTCTTCACTAGGTTCCCCCAGAGGCAGACCCTGCATCAAGGACTCCAGTGTGAGACGTTCACTCCAGAGGTGCACACAATATGCTCGGGGAAACACAGTAGGGCAGGGAGGAAGTGAGACAGGATGGGCGGCAGCTGGACACGGACGGTAATCAGAAAAGCAAGGAGAAGCTAATCCGGGTGGGGACTGATGGGAGAAGGGTGGGCTACGCCCCTCAGAATTCCCGCCCAG